TTCGGTCTCAGGCTCCCGGAGCCCAGCCACTGGTCAATTTCAGCAGCGGCTGAATCCGGGACAGCTGGGGTGCTGCTGGGTTGGTCCCGCAGCCCCGAGGGACAGCGCTACTGGACCTACCCGGCAGCACTCCAGCTGTGCTGCCCCCTGCTTCCCGGATTCAGCGCTGGTCAGTTTTAGCAGCGGCTGAATCGGGGAAGCTGGGGGCAGAGCAGCTCCAATGGTCCAGCTGCCCGGAGCACTTCTGGGTTCCTGATGGTGCCGGACCATCAGGAGTGCCGGACCATCAGATGCCGGACCATCGGAGTTTTACTGTAGTAGGTGAAATATCTAAGACTTTCTTGAAATGTTTTGAGTTTTTTCCATTTGGCCGTGGCTTATGTGTTTGAGTTACCACCCATTCTCAGATTCATGGGCTAGCCCCATACCCTGTATGCCTACGCTACAGCATAATTAGAGCCTGAAACTATTTGAGGAATCTTGATGTGATCATATTGTATCACCATATCTGGACAACGCACTGGGCTATGGAGATGCAAATAGTGTGAGACAGCATCGGCCATCATAACAGAAGTGCTCATTCAGATATTAATCGGGACATCCTGTGAATAATGGCTCAGAAGAAGGAAACAGTTGTTTTCCATGACAGCAAAGCCAGGAGGACTGCAGGCTCAACATCCCATTCTGGACTCTCAACATGTGACTGCAAGAGAACAGTTTCTAAGAGATCTGTGTTTCTTTCTGTGAAAACTCTGAGTAGAGGCAAGGTGAAGAGCTAGTGGCTATGAGCAACTGTTTACAGTGAGAAAGCAGAAATGGGACCCCAGGTAAAAGTGAAACACACAAGTAAATAAAAAGTTGCTCTGGTGGGTAATTTTAATCACAAATGGCAGGATTACTTTATTATATGGAGTACTAGTTATATGGAGACCATCACAGCAGGATTTACTTAAAATAAAAACCCAAGGGTCTCCCCTCCCACCCCTAAAAAAATAAGCTCCAGTCCAAACCATCACCGCAATCTCTTGAAATGAATAGTGATAGAAATGAAGGTACCTAAAGTACATACATGTTCATGAGGCTTTCAGAAAGTTTCTTAGAGGGAAGAAGTTGGGGGAGGTCCTTAAACTCACCCTACCATTCCTGCCCCTTCTCACCTGCAATGGTAGGATTACTTCTGGAGCTAGAGTGGAAGACGCAACAGACCAGGGTCTATCGTGGGGAAACAGGGAACACTGAGGCTTTGTCCACACTATGCAGCTTTTAGCAACATGACTGTGTTGCTATAGATGTGCCACTAAAAGTCGCCCAACATAGCCGCTGTTTTCATGACTGTGTTGCTATAGATGTGCCACTAAAAGTCACCCAACATAGCCGCTGTTTTTCCAACAAAATACTTCCGTCGCTAATGCACGACGTGAACTTTGTTGCTCTTCGCACAGGTGCTTCTTGTCAGCCAAAACTGTGTCTTTTAGGGGTGTAATTTTAACACCCCTGAAAGACAAAAGTGTCGTTCAATTGCCAGCATAGACGTAGCCTAAGGGACCAAAGGTTTGGATAAATTCAGTGAAGCACCCATGCTTTGGGGCACACATTCTAATAAAAGTTTCTCAAATGTACTTCCCTAGCTCAGATAGGACCAATATGTGCTGCAGTATACAGAGACTATGTATTGCTGATACTACCTGATAAAGCAATTATGTCACTAGTAATCAATTTAAAACAGGTTTTAAATTGTATCATTTGGCTTCTTTATTTGGTTGAAGTGGACCAAGATAAAGGACTGGAAAGAATTTTTCTATTGGCCTGCACCTATTCTATACAATTGGTCAAGATGGCTACCTTAGGTCTTTTTCTATATTCAGAAATGGCCATTCCCCTTCCAGGCAAGTTTTCCAGCATTCAGATAAACTGACTTTGATTACTGAATGAACTAACGTGCAAACCTGACACACAAAGATGAAAGGCTAGTGCACTAATCCACTTCATTTGAGCACCACTGCAAACATGAGAGAAAGACAAGTTTATGAAATATGCTTTAGTGAAAACTTTAGTCATTACTACACTGAGCCAGTTGTCATTTTCTTACCAATACAAATGTAGAGCCGGAATTGAGTGTAGACCCCATTAACATACACTCAATGCATTTGTTTTTGTTCCCTAAGTGCTAACAGTGGGAGTTGGAAGAATCCTTACCTCCTGCATCCAGACACTGAATGGCCTCTGCCAAGATTCTTTCTTCTCCAGATGCAGGTATGCATTGAACAGGATTAGATAGATGTATCGTTCCAAATACTGTAGGCTCTGCAATTGCAACATCCGCATTTCCTTCTCTTCCTTGGCTGTTTTCCCCTGAAATTAAGGATGATATAATTGTAATGATTCAAAGTCACCCTCACTGATTCCAACTGAACCCCACATACAAGAATGCACTGAAAACTATAATATAGATATATGGGCCTAATGCTGAGCTGATGTAAGCAGGAGGGGATGGGTAGCTATAAGAAATAAGAATTCATTATTTTTTCATCTGAATAGAATAGTCAAGAGCAAGAAATATCATTAAAATGACATTAGATTGTTCCTTCTATTTCTGTGGAAGGGAAGAGTACAGTTAGCTTTACTCTTTGGGGGAACCCTAAATAAATTAGTACTTGAATCTCAGCCTGCACTTAAGGGATCACTTATCCTACCATTTGGTGCTTTCAATTGAACAATTCCACAACGAGCAGAATGCCTTCTACTTTTTAAAAATAGTTCATCACTGAGGTGTTCTGCCTTTTAGAAATGATCTACTACAAAAAAAATCTCCTTTTCCCCTTTTAGACTATTCCTGCAGTTTTTAGACTATTTCCCCTTTTAGACTATTCCTGCAGTTGAGATGTTCCCTGTTTTAATTCCATTGGTATCTATCCTGAGAGACTTCCCCCATGCAAAAGTTCCCATTATTTGGTGAGAGGTGTGATGCCATGAAGAACCTATTTCACTGGGGAACACACTGTGTAAAACCATGAGCCTTTAATCAGACCATCTTGTTCATCAGTGAAGTCCTCCTGAAGGAGTTGCCCACAACATTCAGGTGTGAGCACAAATCTCTCCTCTCCTCCTCATGATAGGGCAAAATAATGTTCAAGAATGAGGGAGAACTCAGATAGAGGCTGGTAGATAAAGGCCATGAACTTTAGAACAAAATCTATCCTGGAATCTTGAATGAATGTGATCATGTCGCATATCACACTGGTAGAAAGTCTTAGCTGCCCCTCTGCTCCAGAAAGGTTCAAGTACAGTTTATTTTTAGTTACACTTTTTTTTTTGTCAAAAGCTCTTCCATGTATTGTGATCTCTCAGCACTAGTGCACACCCGGTACATTTTACTTCCTGGAACACATTCTGTTCACAGCACAGTGCACAGCTTTTCTGGCCTATTAGCCAGCATCAACAATACAAGGATTTGCTCACTATTTCTCACTGGCTTTTCCACATCATGCTATAGCAGAATTCTTGCTTTCCTTGACCAGGGCAGCCATTATATTCTTGGACAAATCTTTCTGTTCATTAAGTACCATATCCCTTCCCTCCTTGTCTGGTCAAGCGCCTGTCCAGGTTCTGATTGCTCATTTTTTGAAAGATTATATGCAATTGAAAAAAAAAAAGTACTCTGCAATCAGTTTTTCCCCTTTTAATGGGCTACGTCTCTCCAAGACAGAAAGAGACATAAAGCAGAGAAATCACAACATTTAAATTTTGTTGTTTCTGTTTTTCAAGTGGTATCATACTTTGTCTCCTTGGCAACAATAAATATAAACAAGTGATTGCACAATATTTGCATAAAAAAATGAAGTTGAGGAGCAGTCTCAAGTGGCTTCAATATACACAAAGCCTTAGGCTTCCTATACGTCAGCCAGCCAACCAACCCCACCCTCACAGTAAACCACCTCCAACCCATTCCCCCCTCATTTTCTGCTCCCAGTAGAAAATAAAGATACACTTTTCATTGTGTTTAAGTCATGGGGTGCTTCAAAAGCATCCATGGGAGCAAAAGGCAACGTAACCAGGCCTGCCAACAACAGAGGTGGGGCAACGGTGGCAGCACACAGAGCCCTAGGTCCTTTAATCCACTGCTGGAATGCTGCGAGATTATATGCAATTGACACTGAGGGCTGGGCAGTGGGCACTGAGGGCAGGAGGGGAAGGCACTGGCGTAGTACACTCCAGGCAGCACTGAGGGCTGGGCAGTGGGCACTGAGGGCAGGAGGGGAAGGCACTGGCCAGGTGGCACTAAGGGCTGGCTGCCCTGCCCCTTCCCACCTTGCCCAGAGGCCCAGTGAGGCTGTCGGCTCCCCTGAATATAGCCTAAGTCTAACCACCTTGTAAAGGTTAGGAACACTACAAAACGTGAGCCCCAGTCCTGCTCCCATTGAGTTAGCTTCCATACTTGTGTGTGCATACATAGACCCAGATGTAGAGGAATGTATTTGCAAGGGCACATTCACCTTCACTTTGAGTCTGTGGCCCTGTAATCTGCTCCATTTATTACTTGAGACCTCAATCTGTCTTGACCTTTAGGCCACCTTTGTGCGCTGTGAAATCATTCTCGAAAGGAGCATTTCTGAAGAAAAGCCCAATCACCCCTCTGTTTGGTGGTAAAAATAAGTATGTGCTTGAAAATCATTCCTGGTTTAGCTTGGCAATTCAAGCTCTCATTAAACTGTGGCTTCAACTGTATAAAGAGCTCCTCTTTAACTTGTAGCCCTCAAAAATAGAAAAGGTATTGCTATATGTGTACTTGTGGGCACACGTGCAATATAGAGAAAGTCCAGAAATAGGAATTCTGTGCCTCACTAGACTACAAACTATAGCCTGTCTTTGTTATGGCTGTCCTATTTTTGAATGGCTATAGCTACTAGGCAACTAGGCTTTTCCTCACCTCCTATCCCTAATCTGACTGTTTCTGCTAGTGACTGACACACAGATTTACAGGTTCTCAGGTCTGTTCTCAGAGGGGCAGCCATGTTAGTCTATAACTAAAAAAACTTAAATATAACAATGGTCCTATAGCACCTTAGAGACTAGCCAAAAATACAGATAGCAAATATCATGAGCTTTCGTGGGCACAATCCACTTCTTCAGATGACAAATATGGAGCAGAAAAAGCAAGGAGTGGGGAAAAACCATTGTCAATTAAAGTGTCCATGCTAACTGAGGCTGAGTGGGCTGTACATGCCTGATACTTAACTTCTCATGTCATTTGGGTGCTGAATATAACGGCCCATCCTGTTCATGTCTTTGTTCAAGCCATGAGAGTTAGCGTCAAATTTGCATATGAAGGCCAGTTCTATAGACTCTCCCTCTCTCTAATTGATTCCTGAAATTACTTTGTAAGAGAATAACCACCTTTAAATCCATTAGTGAGTGCCCAGGCAAGTTAAAATGTTCCCCAACAGGTTTCGGTTTGTTACCATTTCTAATATCTGATTTGTGTGCTCAATCTTTTGTCACTAAGACTGTCCAGCCTGGCCAATACACATGGCAGAGGGGCATTGCTGGCCCTTGATGGCATAGATCACACTGGAAGATGTGCAGTTGTATGAGCCTCTTACATGGTTAGGTCCTCTGATGATGTCACTTGTATAGATCTGTGGACAGAGTTGGCACCGGAGTTTGTTGCAGAGGTGGGTTCTTGGGTGAGTATGTTTGAGGTGTGTTGCATGGTAAGTGGAAAGAATTTATTTCAGGTTAGAGGGTTGTCTGTAGATGGGGTGTCTGTTCTTTTAGTCACAATTTGTTACTGAGCTCTCAAAACACTCAGTGGCTACGTCTAGACTGGCATGATTTTCTGCAAATGCTTTTAACGGAAAAG